CTCCCACCCACACTCTTCGCCTCCACCTTCCCCTTTGCCCCTCCTCTACACACGCTGTTCCATTTTCCCTTTCCTACCTACATCTTCCTCCAACCCCTCTCCTACTTTTCCTACCTTCCATCTGTTTTATCTCTCACACATAGCGACTTTTTTTTTATCACTCATCTATGCCCTTCCAATCCTTTCCCTTTATTTTCCTTTCATCCTTCTAACCTCCCCTCATATTTATCATTTACTTTACCCTTCATCTCATCCCCCTTCCCTCATCCTCCTTCTCCTACACACCACATCCTCCACATCCCCTTCCTCTGTCCTTACCTCCCTCCAACACTCCTCCCTGCCCCTTACACACACACACACACACACACACACACACACACACGCACCCTTCCCAACTCGACCTCTTCTCCTCCTCCTCCCACCTCCCTCCCTCCTTCCTCACTACCCAACCCCCAGCCTCCTACTACACAGGAGCTGAGAGGATACACACACAGGCGCAGAAGGAGGCCCTACCCTTCAGAAGACGACGTCGTGTCCCTGCAACACCCCAAGACAAATCTGACCAATACATCTGAAGACAGTCGTATTGATAATGACATCCACCCATTACTGGCTCTGCTGTAATGGCCATCCTGAATGATTCCTCGCCTCCTAGATGCCAAATGATTTCTCTATAATGCTAGATTGGTTCGCCGTCTCCCTCTTTCCATTAGAAGGCACTTAGTGGTTTATTGGAGAACACTGAGTGAAGCAGTTGATTGTTGAGAGAGAGAGAGAGAGTGTGTGTGTGTGTGTGTGTGTGTGTGTGTGTGTGAGGTAATTTTAATGACTGTTCGACGATAAAATAGTGTGTGTGTGTGTGTGTGTGTGTGTGTGTGTGTGTGTGTGTGTGTGTGTGTGTGTGTGTGTGCGTGTGTGTGTGTGTGTGTGTGTGTGTGTGTGTGTGTGTGCGTGTGTGTGTGTGTGTGTGTGTGTGTGTGTGTGTGTGTATGCGTGTGTGTGTGTGTGTCGTGAAATATGGCAGACGGTGGAGATTACAGTAAATGTTTTAATTAATCTAATGTATTGGAAAGGAAATTTTATTTGAGTTACAGTGACTTTCGTGTTCCTGACTAACCTGAACTACCCAATTACAGTTATTTTTGTAGTACTATTTTTGCACCTCCTATACTATTGTCATCAGTGCTACTATAATTACTATATCTGCTGGAACTACTTTACTATTATTACTATTGTTACTATTATTATTACTACTACTATTGACCTTAGTACTGTAACTAATTGAATTATCATTATAACTGGTACTCCTAACAGTATTCTAATAGTATTATAATTAGTGATATTACTACTGCAACTACTAACCTACTACCACCACAACCAATACTACTACTACTGCTGCTACCCTACAACCACCACTACTACTACTACTACTACTTCTACTAACTGTTCACTGAAGTCATGTTAGATCCTCCCTCAAACGCCTTCTGCCACCATTCCCAACGCCTACTCCTCCTCCCCCCCTCCTCCCCTCCACCACCGCGTTACTCTACCAGGAGGGCGCCGGCCTGCTGCTTCCTCACTAAATAACCACTGAGGAAAGACGGCCCTCTCCTCCCTCTCCAATGGCTTCCCCCTTCTCTCACTTTATAATGAGTGAGGGACGCTTGGCCCTCTCCTCTACCCTCATACACCTCTCCCTTTATACAGCAAGAAGAAGAAGAAGAGTAGGAGGAGGAGGAGGAAGAGTAAGGGGAATGTCTGACTTCCTTTCCTAGAAGTAAGTGAGGGGAGAGACCTATCGTCTTTCCCTCTATAGTACCTGTTATGCACCCGTCTCTACATCCTTTCCCTTTATTATGAACCAGCGTCGTGCACCTGCCCCCTTTCTTCTTCCTCTTCCTCCTATTCTACCTCCTCTTCCTTCTCCCCTCATACTATACAACCGATGGTGGGATAAGAGAGAGAGGAGAGAGAGAGAGAGAGAGGGGGGGGAGGGGGAGAGAGAGAAATAGAGAGAGACAGAGAGATGGAGATGGGAGGGGTTGAAACTGACCCTCCCCCCCCATCCCCCCTCACTACAAACCAGTGGGGGTGGCTGCCGGACACCCAATCTCGGTCCGTCATCAAAAGTGAATTAAAACGGTATCGCGCCGTGTTCCGCAGACGACGGCCTCCCTTGTCCTACGCGCACAGAATAATTGCAGATGTAATTCAAGCCAACTGACCGTCCCTCATCCTTTGTCGGTAATTCACTGGACTCCCTCTCCCCCGTCGGCTTAACTCTACCCCAACTTTGCAAGACAGGAAATTGAGAAGCATTAGGAGAAGAGGTGGTACAAGGGGAAAAGGAGAAGAAGGAGGAGAAGAGGAGGAGGAAGAAGAGGCATTAGAACCCACAGCAACAGAAGGAGAAGGAGGCGAAGAATAGGCCGCAGGGAAAGGCGAACCGACCTAAGGGGGCAACTGCGCGAGGGTGACACAAAGTGAATAGGTCCACTGAGAGGCAGAGACGGTGGCGGTGATGATGGTGCGGGGAAATGAAGGGGGAAAAGGTATTAGAGTCCAAGAAAGAAAAAAAGAATGAAAGGCAGGATTGTACTAATGAAGGGAGGAGAGGCGAGAGAAGGAAGATGAGAATGAGGACATGATGAAAATTGGCTAGGGTTGGAAGGGAATAGGAAGATAGAGTTAAAATTACAAAAATAATCAATAATCAGGGAAAATTCATAATTAGACGGACATGAGATTTACCCAGGAAGAGAGAAGCATGTAGAGGGAGAAGTTAGGAACTTGATGAGTAATAGAGAAAAAACAGAAGGAAGGAAGATAATGATAGAGAAGAATTAGAAGAGAAAGGATATCATAAAACAGTATAAAGAAAGTCAATTTATATACAAAAGGAAGATAAAATGAAGACGAACATTGATATAAAGTGTAATTATGAGTAAAGAGACACAAGAAGGGAAGAATAAAGAAGAAGACCACTTTAAGAACATGTAAACATAGGCGGGAATATAAAGGATAAGAACAATAAAAACAAATTAAAAGGATACGAAGGATAACAGAAGGAGGAAGGAAAGACTAAACAAAGTGATTTTTTTTCCGTTATAGTAAAAGAGAAAAATTAATGACATCCTATTCATACCACCACAATATGGAGTCCAACATTGAGTCCAACATTGAGTCCATCAGAGGAAAATTCTCTCCAGGGTCATCATTAACGGGGAAATAAACTCTGTCGGTATTTATGAAACTTCCGCCGACAGCATTTTGCTCGCGTGCTTTAGTGTGGCAATGCTCATAATCTTCAAAGAATATAATTATAAAAGGAAAACAAATTATGTTTTCCCTTTGAGGTAAGAGAAGCGGCGTGATAATGAAACAGGAGGCTTGGCGCGGATCCTCCTGCCGGTAATGCACTACATCCAACACTTTTCAGACGCATTTCAATTTAGTTTGCGTTTTGGCAAAGTCCTCCATTCAACCATTGGCAAAAGAAGGATTACTTTCAGCATCGCATTGAGGTTTCCGCGGATAAAAATATGTGACAAGTTTGTCGATTTTCGGTGTGGTAGGATGGGCGACAAGGATGATATCCAATGAAATTTGAATACGAAAATGGACATTATTGATTTCAGATCTGGTGCACATAATCGTTCATAATCTCAGCACGATTTATTAATGAGTCGCTTGGAAATATTCAGATTTAAGTCGTATTTGAATAGTCCATGAATCTAACGACAGTTTTATGGGGGTAATTACTTACCTGCAACAAAAAGAAATATCTACAGAGACGAAATTAGTCCACCTTTTAATTGACGAGAGGTTTACCCTGGAAGAAAACGAGAGTATGAGAGAAAAAATAGGGGGGAAGAACGGAGACATGAAACGGCAATAAGAATCATTCCCCTAATAGATAATCAATCAAACCGGACCCTTACTGCTTCTGCTGCTGCCGGCTTCCTCGTTCAATATCGCTCCCCGATAACCTGCCATCAGCTGGTAATGATGCGACGCTGCTCAGGGATAAAACAAATCTATCTTTTACTGTTTATCACACGGTGGTGGCGGCGACGGAGGCCAAGCTAGGAGGATCCCCAGGCGAGATTATAGTACATACCATGAAGGAGATTGTGGTGTGTGTGTGTGTGTGTGTGTGTAGCGGGGAGAGGACCCATTGGCACCAGCACCACCACATTTACAGGCTTTATTTTACTCGTTGTCATTACGGCAAGTGGGTCGTCTCTAGCGGTTCAGAGCGAGGGGTCAGCCTGGAGGAGAGAGAGAGAGAGAGAGAGAGAGAGAGAGAGAGAGAGAGAGAAGGGTTCATTCGCTGAGAAACGAGGGAAAAGGAGGGTTTTAATGAGGGCTTGTGAGGGGAAGGAAAGCTTCACTCCCGGAGTTATGAGGACAGAAGAAGATTCATTTGTGTCTGTGAGGAGGAAGAAGCTTCATTTCGATAACTCATAAAAACAATTGTTGGTTGACGATGGATGACGAGTTTGTGTACTTTCCTATGAGGTAAAAAATAATAATTTCATTGTTTTTACGTATTTTTGTTAACATTGGATATTCCTCATAAATTTAAGCTGGGAGTGAATATCTCTTATTGCAAGAGTTTAATCAAGAGATGGATAAGACCGAACACCACACGATAAATATCTCACATAATTAAAAGATGTATCTGTGTCTTACTCCAGTTGTTTGTCACAGGTGGTAGTGTCTGTCACAGGTAGGGACGTGACGCACTCAAGTATGGACAGGTGTGTAGTAGATTGGATAGGTGTGCGGTAAATAGGGACAGGTGTGTGGTCAATGAGACGTGTGTGAGTTTATGAGGTCCGTGTAGTATATTTACTATGGTAAGAATAAATAAAGAACTATTTAATGGAAGTTCTATACAAGGCGATTTTTATTTATTTTGTCTTTTATGTTTGTGTAAGATTTTTTTTATTTAATTAACGATTGATTTTGTTTCTTTCCTGCAGAATGTTGAAGGATGGAAGGAGAGGCCAGCCTTCAGGAGCTGACCACTTTACCTCTACTGACGTCATTATTCCACCTTTCCTTATGACCTCTACTGACGTCACCTCACCTGGTATCACAACCTCATGACGTCATCAATAACTCCGTGTCATTATCTCACTTGGCTTACATGATGTCACTTCGACTGACATCACCTCCTATCCTGACATTAAAACTTTTCACGATGTTATATCACCTGATGTCACAACCCTCACACGATATCATGAATGACCCAATGTTGACATCTCAACCACGTTCGATGTCATTAACCTACATGACGTCCTAAACTTAAACGGCATCATTACCGCTTCAAGTAATTACCTTTATGACCTGACTACACCTGATATGACGTCATCAACTTACCTGACGACGCCCCCCGAGACGGTAGCGCCCTGACAGTCTTGATCACGAACCCTCGCAAGGCCTGGTCACACCCTCGCCGATAAGGAGGTAATAAAACAAGGACCTAAAACTTGTGTTGTGTCGCTGCATGACAACCATGATGACTTGTGCATCTCTTTACTTTACTGAACCATCAAGAAATTTAAACCAATAATAATCACATGACAATTTTCTATATGTGTTTAGTTTTATCTATAATTTGTCTTAACTTTTAATCTATCAACCCTATAATTTAATACGATATGATCCAATTTCTCTCTATATATATTATGAGTTAGAAGCATGACAAACATATTCTATCGAGTATATGTGATATTCAGGTTAAGTTATAATGATCACAGTGAGTCTATAACGTCAACATGTCACGGATCATAAGACGTGAATAATGTATGCTTCTTTCTCTCTCTACCAGATACTACCTCTGTCCTAGTGAATGATGTATAAGCCTCACCGACTCCCCGTACTATCTACACATCTCATTCATATCGATGTATGTATATTAATCATTTACTTTATTCATATCTGCGTTAAAAATCAGTAGGAGAGAATTTTATATCTCATCGTATTTTTAAATGACTGTGTAATTATGTTCTGTGATAAGTAATAAGAGTTTCAGTAATTTGGATATATTAGTCGTGGGTGCCAGTCAGCGGCGGGAACCTCACCGTGTGTCTGTAGATATACAACTCAGCGCCAAATTACAATTCCCCTCGAAAGAATTCTACATCTAAGGCCTTCCACATCTAGACTCAAATCTAAGACTCACTATACACTAGAAATCACAGTATAAACAACCCAGAAATAAATATAAAACCTCCACATCACATTAACGAAGGAAATATGATGCGTTAATGAAATGGGCGGAGCGGAGACCTAAGATTTAGCGGAGAGCGTCTTGAGCGTGTTCCTCCAGCCTCCTCCGTCGCCGTCACCGCCTACCTACCGGCCGCCTCACACTCTCTCTCCATCATATTCCCTCCTAGCTTAAGAGTATTGGTTAAGTAAGTAATTATGTTAAGTAGGATGTAACTAAGATCAATATAATGAAGGGCCATATTAGTAATAGCTGTCTCAGGCGTCGATATATATATATAGGTTTTAATCGTTTGTCTGTATGAGTAGACGAGCGTTCTTGAGTAGATAAGTTAAATAAGTGATATAATATCGATTTAAACAACAAGAGAAAACTAAAAGCTTGATTTTTAAGACTTGAAAAGAACTTCCACGTCAACTTCTTGCAAATACGCGAGTTCAAAGTCAATAAATATATGAAAAAACACCTAAAATGATTGAACAGTCGAGGAGAAGTTAAGGATGAAATATATACAGCCAATATGACGTTAAAACATACCATAACATAATCATTAATATATAAACACTTTCTCAACGGCAGTGAAACCGACACAAGACTACGAGTGAAAAATTGTTCCAAGTGAATGAATGAAAAATATAAACGGAACTACAACAATCATAAAGTTACATTGTAAATTTAATGTTATACTTTGTAGTTTATATTTACAACTTAAAACACAAAAAAACAGAGTAAATAGCTCATTCTTTACAAGCAACCCTTTGTAATAGCGTTATATCACTATCTTCAATAACTAGCAATCATACGTCAAGTACAATCAAAACACCAAAGAATTGCTCCGGTCAGCCATGAAAAGACATCCGTATCAACGTGAATTAGATCAAACACGATAAAAAAATCCCACTTCTCTTATCACTGTTGATTATCCACATGTACGCTTCCTTAACACTCATAACTACAAAATTACGTACAGGTTAATACCAATTTATATACTATTTATGTTTTCAGATACAAAATAATTCAAGGATAACTGACTCTTAAGTAGTGAAAATATCAACTAAAAACGCTATACCCAAAAATTGAGTAGCCCTCATTAATCCTCTACCTGTAAAGCACCAAACAAAATAGCATCAATTTTATCCATTTTCATCCACTTTTACACCCATCCAGGTAAGTATGGATTGAGCGTTCCCAAATCCACATCCAACAGGAAATTTCTTCATTAAGTGTATCACGTTTCACCTGTATACGGTCCCTTCTTCTCCTGTTTGTGTTAGGGGCTTTAGTGAATGGTAAATCGAGGTAATTGGGATAACATGGGTGATTACGGATGATTAGGAATGATCGGGATGGTTGGGATAGTTAATTGATATCTCTATTAAGAACGTAGGTCCGTAATTCTTTTTTTTTGTGAAATTCATTACTGTCAACCATCCGAATCATCTCACTCACTCCTTTCATTCCAATCATCTCAGTCCACCTAATCATCTCAATCATTCTAATCATTTCAATCATTACATTCATTCCTATCATCTCAGTTCATCTAGTCATGTCAATCATTCTAATCATCTCAATCGTTCCAGTCATTCCAATCATCTCAGTCTACCTAATCATCTCAATCAGCCCATTCATTCCAATCACTTCACTCCATCTAGTCATCTCAATCATACCATTCATTCCAATCATCTCAGTCCATCTAGTCATCTCAATCATTATAATCATCTCAATCATCTCACTCACCTCCAATCATCCCATTTAGTAAATCACTCTACATCGCTATGGCCGCTTTGTCACTGCTCTGTAATTTTCCATTTAACTGTTTTGATTATTTCGCATCACACGTATGATGAAAAAGCGACCTATTCCTCCTACACTAGATCACTTAATCCCCAGGTAAAGTTTCCGTGTTATATTCAGGTGTTTGTTATTTAAATACGGGTTATGGTATAGATAGGAAGAGCATAGGAGTGGAAGGTATTATCGCTGTAAATAATGATAAGTGGAGAGAGAGAGAGAGAGAGAGAGAGAGAGAGAGAGAGAGAGAGAGATAAAAAAGATAGAAAAAAAGAAAGAATGAAAGAAAGAAAGAACACATAAAGACAGACAGACATGAAAAAATATGGTTGAGACTTCCCCTGTATGGTGAGGTCAAGCATGAACTATATATCCCTCACGCTCGGGCTGCGAGGATTAAAAAAAAATGCATTCACCCGAACACTGATGAGGCGAGGGATCCAATTCTCTCTCTCTCTCTCTCTCTCTCTCTCTCTCTCTCTCTCTCTCTCTCAGCTTATTTATTAATTTATTCATAGCATACTTTTACGCGGTAGTGACAGTCGCTTAGCTGCCGCCACAAAATACCTAGAGGATAGTACTATATGAACTCCGGTGAGGGGGTGGTTGAGGGGAGATGGGGGAGGGGGGGAGGGAGGTATTTATTTTTAATTAGTAAACAGAGTCGGGGAGTACAATGACAGTGTTACTTGTTGCCTCATTGTCCGTCCAGTGCGTGTGTGTGTGTGTGTGTGTGTGTGTACATAGTTATCTCGTATATCTTGTCACATCACCGGAGACAAAAATATATAGCAATAAATACAGCTTAGATACTTAACTTTACACACACACACACACACACACACACACACACACACACACCTCTAGCCACCCAGCCAGCCAGTCAGAAAACTCATCGTAAACTTTTATAGAACATCACAGCCAAAGTGGTGCGTTGGGGTACATGAGTCTGCCCTTCTGACACTGTAACACATAGTCACTGTTTTATGTAATGGTGATGGACGAGTTTTTTTTTAATAGGAGTTATTTTCACGGGTATTCAGGTTGTGTGGAGGATAGAAGGTAAAGTCTCACCGTCAGCTCTACGTAGGCAGTAATAAATGTGCTGTGATAAGAGAGGAAGGAATTTTCTGCCTCGTAGTCAACTGTTGGTTCCGGATAACTGATGATGCAGTTTATTTTTGGCGACGTGCTCACTCACTCACCTCACTCAGTCATCCGCAACACGCACTCACTCATCCGCAACACACACTCACTCATCCGCAAAACACACACACACACAAACTTACGACCAGTCCTCTCTTCCATTTTCTATGCTATCTCTTGCTTCTCTGACTCGTTCATTCTTTATTCTTTTTTCAGCTCATCACGTCTAGGTCTCGTTTACTACAGAAGCTCCAGTCTGCCTCAGTCTCCTCACTTTTTTCCTTCAAGCGCCGGAAAGGATAGGAAACTTATCAACCTTGATGAGACCTTCGCTATCGCTGACAAGTTCCCGATGAACTAGTATGGAGGACACAGGTAATGACTCCCGGAAGATGGCTTCACGCTCATCAAAGATCCATTATTTAATTTCGAAGAGGTATGTAATTACTTTTAATATCAATAAATTACCATATATCGTTTGTTTCTTAACTTTTACGTTATAAGGAAATTATATATATATATTGTATCTTAATATATATGGTAGGTTATAGAGATATATATACTATATATTCAACCATCTCCAAGAGGTAGTGGGTGACATGCCTGCCTCCTACTTAGTGAAGTGCCTGTAGGTCTGGCTTGTATCTGGGTAGGGACCGGTGTTGACATTCTCCTCCTCAGTGAAGAGGTTACTTAGAACTTACTCGAGTCGATCAATATATTCCACCTGTACAGCATCACGTGATGTCTTAGCAAAAAGATCGATATTGCAACAACATTTTAATACAGTAGATGAATATAAAAATTTATATAAGACAAAAGAGTGATAGTGTATTAGACCGCTTTATATATTAGTAAAGTGCAACGCTTGTAATAATAATAATAATAATAATAATAATAATAATAATAATAATAATAATAATAATAATGATAATAATAATAATAATAATAATAATAATAATAATAATAATAATAATAATAATAATAATCATCATCATCTTTGTGATTTGGGCTGATTATTTTTTCATTAATCGTAATTTTATTAAGTTTAATAATTCTATTGGTTTACCTTTATTATCATTGTTATTTATATTATTAGTTATCAGTTGTGTTTTCGTCATCATTATCCATAAAAATCATCATCATCACCATATTATTATTATTATTATTATCATTTTTATGACTTTATTCCCTTATTAGCTCTTGTGATATTCTATTGTATTCATATAATTAAATACCACAATCGTTCATTATTCTTTCAATTTAATTAAAAAAACTCAACATAAATTCAAAATAATACTTCATTCTTTTATAAGACTCTACTATCAGTGTAATTGTCTAGTTACGTTTAATCACCTCAACACTACAAAGATCACATGACTACCAAGATCACATGACTCTACCAAGATCACATGACACTGCCAAGCTTACATGACACACCCAAGATCACATGACACTACCAAGGCCTCTACACACCTGCCCATGGAAATCAATTAATACAGAAGCCAATACAAACTTCAATAACTGACTGACTAACTGACTGACTGACACATACAAGGAGGTGTATAGAAGCCTTCTTCCTTGCCCATACAAAAAGGTATATCGAATTTAAGAAAGAAAGTATTCAAGATGTATATGAATGGAGCAAATCGCAAAAAGATACGTTTCACTTCTATTATGAAAAATATGTTAAGAGGGCTATGAAGGAAGGATGAAAGGGGGGAGAAGAAGGAAGAGGAGAGAGAATTGGTTAAGGAAGAGAGACATAGTTAGAGACAGAGGTGGACTAAGAGAGAGAGAGAGAGAGAGAGAGAGAGAGAGAGAGGAGAGGAAAGACGTGGACATTGTATAGTTACCTGATGACAGAGGTGGACTAAGAAACACCTCAATAGTATATCGACAGGGAGGTATTGATTACCTGGCCTCAAGTCAGCTCAGCTCCGACTCTCCCTAGCGAGAGAGGCTTCCTCACCGCCGCAAGTCAAACACCGCTTCTCCAGGTCCCCCACACGCTGGTCTTGTCCCCCCCTTACCATTCTCCCCCTCCTCCTCCTGTCCCCCCAACCCCTTCCTATATACTGTACTCTCCTACCTCACCTCCTCCATCACAACACCACACATACACACACCCTAACCTACCCTACCCTACCCTACCCTACCCTATACACACCCTCAACCTCAACCCTCACCCATGCACACACATACACACACGTACACGTACACACACACACACACACACACACACACACACACACACACACTTTCTCTTTGTTCAGATGTTTGTATCACATACTATTGTACTTAGTAGAACAGATATATTAAAGAACTTATATGTGTACTTTCAGGATATGAAAATGTGTGTATGTGTTTGTGTATATATAGATGTATGTAGGTGTATGTATATGTGAGTGTGTGTTTGTCCTTGTTGTTTCAGCCCTTTCCAGTGTCACTTTCTACACTTTTCTTGCGTTATTCTCCCCTACCATTTCCTCGCTTTCATGAGGTTTCTGTTTCCCTTGATCCACCCCGCTCAAAAAGTGAGAGAGGAGGAAAGATAATAGGTAGATGGATAGCGACCGTACAATGTAAACTTTTTTTTTTTACCTCCGTGTTATCATTTCTTCCCATCACAAAATCCCTCATTATCAACTTTGCAAAATATTGGTTATTCTCTTAAAAATACGAAATGATTATGTTCTTTCAATTTAGAATTGGGTTTTCCTTCATGATTTCTCTCTATGTTTATAATTGTGTTGTTTTGTTGATTTTTTCCCAGGAAATTTAGCTCTATTGTCCCTCCAAGAGATCACCATCCTGGAAATTGTATCTGGGAAATCTGTGTGTGTCTTGGTATTACTATTTACAAACAAAAGGCTAAGCAATAATAGTAATAATATGAAAACGAAGGAAAAAAAATCTAATTTGTGTCGTGTGATTGTTGTGTGAAACGAAATGAATAATATTTAGGGAAAGATGAAAAAATGACAAGAACAAAATGAATAGTAAATAGTTGAATTATTTGATGCAGTGTAATTACCATTCTTATAGCACGACATACAAACAGAGGGTCAAGCCTTACACAAATAATGACACCTACGATTTTGTTTTACCACTGCACTTGAGGACAATACTCTTCCCAACTCTACCATAACACTCCCTATAGATCCATTATGCATTCTGATAAAATCTGCGTAAATGCGTATTATACAGGTAAACTACAACAAAGACAGAACAAATCAGTTTTTGTTTAGTACGACACGCAATAAAAACATAAACAGATTAATTCCCACCAATAACAGACGTTCATAAGCTATTCCTCAAAACTGAAGCAAATCTAACAGCCTAAGCACGTGTAAGTACCGCGGTATTACTCAACAAGTCCCGGGTTGTTTACATGACGGCTTTATAAATTGGTGACTTTATTCGAACTCTTTACCGACAATCATTCAGATCTGTTTGTGGTTCTCGTTCTCCTCCCGTCGAAAAATACAGAGATAATGGAAAATCCGTGGGCGTTGTGTTGTTCAAGAAAAGTTAATAATTTTAGAAATAATGATTATAGGCCTAAAACAAATAGTAATTAAGGAGCTGTTCTATAAATATATGGTTAAGATTAAGATAATGATGCCTGAGGTGGTTTATTGTCTTAATTATTTACGAAAAAAACATTGAATTTTGATATCATTGATGCAGTGACGAGCATCGATTAAAATGTCCCACAGTATTGAATTATATAACTGATGATGAATTGTGTTATGTTACTTCTCGTTCTACTTATCCAGAAAAAGTTAAAAGTTTCAAAAGAATGAATACGTAATCATAAGAAATTACTTTACAAATGGACGATTGTGATGCAAAGTAAAGTTGTATCCCTGAGTGTAGTTGACGCTACTTCGAAAACACTGTACAGGAAATATTGAAATGATGTACAACCGAATGAATTCCTAAGTCCTAATCAAAACAATTACCGGTAGCCCGCCCTAACTTGGTAGGATAAAACGAGGTAGCAATCTTTAAAGACTACTGTTATCTGAAGGCTCTCGTGTGTTAGGTCGATCTTAGAATATCTCATTTTCTGAACATGTTTCCGCCTCTCTACCTTTCAACTATGGGGAAGAGGAATAGGGGGGGGGAGGGGAGGGGGAGGAACGGGGAGAGGGAGAAAGGGGGAAAAGGGAGGGGAAATTATCAACTATATGTTCAAAAACTCCCAGACTGCGCTGAACAAAGGGATAAATAAATACTTCCAGCTTACATAAATACCTATAATCAAGATAATGTTATTATATATAATCATATAATAATTATAATGTAATGGATGATACAAGGCGTAGGCTCAGGACAGCGGTATACATGAATAATGATAAGCTTGGTGGTGGTGGTGGCTGTTCATCAGTATGGTGTGTGGACCTTCTTTACTCAGGCTGTGATTAACGACACACACAACACTGTCATGCCTCCACTAGCTACTGTGGCACACGATAGTCTCTTCCCATCCCATGCTAAATCCTGATACACTTTCTCTCGTACACACACACACACAGATAAAATAATAGAAGGAACTGTAGAAAAAAAATTGAAACCCGAAAAATATTAACACATCAAACAGGACTCGTCAGGACCACCATGGAATTGAAGCTCTCAGGAGGAACTCAAAAACCACAATAAAATGAAAACATATCCAAGAGAAGAATAAAAAAAAAAGTACAAAGTAGAGAACAGATAACAACAGGAAAGAGCCGAAACATAAAGTTGGAACTCTCTGCCGAAGCTACAGGAAGAATCCCGGCCGTGTGACCGTCTGTCTCTCTTATGGGAAAACACAGCGATAATATTAATATTTAAAGGTAAAGCTTGGCAGTGGCTCTTGCCCCCACAACTCTTCAAATATGGACTGTGTTTCGGGTCCCTCAGCTACCGATTGTTTAACAGAAACAAGGGTTGTTTAATAGTTGACCACCGCCATAATAACTTGTGCTCATATTAGTCCCAAGCAGCAATTTGTTTGTTGTGCAGGGTGACCCATCCGCCCAGGGGGGGTGGGGGATGGAGAGTCACTGTGGGAAGTAGAGTGTGTGTACACACTTTACTGTAGTAACTTGTGCACCACTGTCCCAGTATAGGATTTAACACGACGGTATGCTTTTGTGTGTCTGTACGTTTATGTGTGTGTGTGTGTGTGTGTGTGTGTGTGTGTGTGTGTGTGTGTGTGTGCATCATGTGTGTATGTATGTATGTATAGCAAGACTTAACTTCAACGTCAAAAAGCGACCATTATCTTTATCCTTACTACAGTCTCGATAACTACAAGACTTACAAGTGCATTATATTTCACCATCAGTGGCTCTTTTTATATCACTATGCCACAACCTGTATGAATAATACCCCAACCAACACTTCTCATTTTCTTTACATATA